CATCATGTCTGCAGGGAAGGGGGGCAAAGAGGGGAGGGGCACATTAGGCTGAGGGAACAGTATGTGCAAAAGTTGGAGGCAAGTTCAAGGTGAGGTTTACCTTTCTTTAGCTGAATTTTAGTTCTTGTATCCCTGGTGCCGTCCAAATATTCTTTGATAAACTTCAATATACTAGAAAGCCCTGTCAATTTTTTGTTGTTGTTTTGGTTTGGTTTTTTTGTGTGTGTGTTTTTTTAAATTTTATTTATGTATTTGACAGAGAGAGAGAGCATGAGCAGGGGTGCGGCAGGCAGAGGGAGAAGCAAGCTCCCGGCCGAGCAGGGAGCCCTTGAGCCCAGGACCCTGGGATCATGACCCGAGCCGAAGGCAGACGCTTAACTGACTGAGCCCCCCAGGAGCCCCTCAGTTTTTTTTAAGGAGGTGCCATGCCCAATGTGGAGCACAGCACGGGGCTTGAACTCACGACGCTGAGATCAAGCCCTGAGCTCAGATCGAGTTGAATGCTTAACCGACTGAGCCACCCAGGTGCCCCAGCACTGCAATTTTTTTTCGCTGCAACTTTTTAATCCCCAATTTGTACCAGCTGAAATCACTCCCTAACTCTGTAAGTTAGGTGTTTCCATCTGGAAGTCATTCTTTTTTTTTATTTGACAGAGAGAGAAAGAGCACAAGCAGGGGGAGAGGGAGAAGCAGACTCCCTGTGGACCAAGGAGCCCGATGGGGGGCTCGATCCCAGGACCCTGAGATCATGACCTGAGCTGAAGGCAGACACTTAACCAACTGAGCCACCCAGGCGCCCCTGGAAGCATTTCTAAAAGAAAAATTATAATAATTCTACCACCCGATGTCTACTACTTTTGGCTCCAAAAAAAAATTTTTTAAAGGATAACTATGTAAAGGCTTTTGCCTTCTCCAAGATGGCACAGTAGTGCCCCCTGAGTTTCATTAACTCCACAAAAACTTTGTGAGCAGTGACTAAGAAGACACAGCTTTGCCGTCATAGAGGCTGTAGGTTGGGGGGTGGGGGGCAGACCTTGAACAACTAGCTACACAGGTGATGAGGGTTAGGAAAGGGACGTGGAGAGCATCATGGGAAGATGTAGCGGAGGGTCCAGAAAGACTGGGGGAAGCTAGTCAGAAAAGGCCTCCCTGACTGAGATTTAAGCTGAGTTTTGAGGAATGAGAAGAAGTTAGCTCAGCAGATGGGGGAGAAGAGTGATGGGCCTGTGCAAAAGCCCGAAGCTGGGGAGAGCATGTATGGATGGTTGAAAATGGAGTTGGAGAGGTAAGTGAAGGCCAAGAAATACAGGGCTTTGTAGGTCATGATAAGGACTGGGGTATTTACCCAGAGAGAAATGAGGAGACACAGAGGGTTTTAGCAGGGGGGCCATAGCAGGAGATTTGCATTTTCGGAAGTACATCCTGGTTGTTGGGAGGAGACCGGGTCGTAGCGGGGCTAGGGTGGGAGTGGTGGGACCTGTCAGGGGGCTGCTGATGCCATCCAAGGAGAGTTGATGGCTTGGGCTACGGCAGCCCCCTTGGCCCCATGGGGCCTGGTGTTTGTCTGCAGCTCAGTCTCAGCTACGTGGAGACTTTGGGAACCAAGCGATCATTTGGCTAGAAAATGTTCCGTTGTTCCAGCGTTCCGTTCGGGGCGAGCACTGTTTCCCAGCCCATTTTCTCAGGAGAGTCGTGCGTGTGTGTGCACGTGCATGTGCACGCGTGTGTGTGTATGTGCACAAAGCTACATGCACACATCCTTGTGTCCTCAAGGACACACGAATTAGTTTTATCGAATTCAGTAGCTTTCCTGAATCCTAAAGCTTGGAACCACTGGTACCAGAATCCATGGAGCATGGTTACCCCTTCCTCCTCCAAGATGTGAGCTGCAGGTAAGTGACAGGGGAACGCGGGCTCCTCGCTGTGCCTCTGCCCTCAGCACCGTTGGGGTGGATGCCTTGATGGGGAGACCCGACAGCTGATGCAGGTGGAAACGTCTCTCACCTGCACACCTGCCTTGGCCAGGTCCCTTTGCTCCCTCCAGGAGGGAAGAGGGATGTGGCCTCTAGTCTGTCACCTTTTCCTTTCCTGGTTTGGCACTGTCCTTTATACTTGCCCTTCTCCAACCCAAGGGAAAGACAGGAGCCAGGGCTGCTGAATTAGAGAAGCTCCCTGTACCCCCCAGCCCCCACCCACAGGGACAGGATGAGGAACAGTAAACACTAACACAGAACCCTAAGGAGGTGTTTGTGTTTGAGGCAGGAAAAGGGTGTTGAATAGAAAGAGATAATAACAGGGCCTGGACAGAGGGGCATCTCCATGTCTCAAGACTCACTTGCTGAACTGCTTTTCGTGGTCAAAGATAAAGAAATGGAACCTTGGTTTGATTCCTCACATGGCAACAATTCAAAGCAGTTAAATGAGAGACCTACGTACCCAAAGACTGAAGGTGGGCCATCCTTTGAAGGAGCAAGTCCTATTAAAAATATAGCCTCCATTTGTGGAGGGCTTACTAAGTGTGAGGCACATATTCGGTGTTTTACTTTCATTACCTTACTTAAACTTCACCTCTGAGGTTGATTCTCTTATTATCCTCATTTTACACAAAAGGGGACTGAAGGCAATTGGGCTGCTCAGCATCCCAGGGCTCAGAGGTGGTGAAGAGTTTGGCTCCAAAGTGAGCCTGAGTCCTGCATCACGCTAAGCAGAGCTGGGAGAGTGAGTTCAAGATCTGGTCCCTCAATAAATAACGAAAGAAAAGGCTCATCCTCAGGTCACCTGAGAGCTTGTTAAAAATGCAGGCTCCTGGGGCACCTGGGTGGCTCAGTCAGGTAAGCGTCTGCCTTCCACTCTGGTCATGATCTCAGGGTCTTGGGATTGAGTCCCATGTTGGGCTCCCTGCTGGGTGGGGAGTCTGCTTGTCCCTTTCCGTCTGCCCCCCACCTGCTCATGTGCATGTTTTCTCTCCCTCTCTAATAAAATCTTTTTAAAAAATGCTGGCTCCTGGGCCCCGTCCCCCCAAGCTTCTGAGACAGACTCTGGGAGCCTGGGGCCTGGGCAACAGCACAGTAACAGGTCCCTTAGGATTCTGGTGCACACAAGTTTCAAACCCTCTGGACAAAGCCAAGGCTGAAAGGGTGTGTACAACCAGGGTGTACCCTCCTTCCCCAAAAAGGCACAAGGCTTGCTTGCCCCTGGCAGACCAGTTGACCCAGAGGGTTGGGAGCATGTCTGTGGCTCTGTTAGGTTGTGACCAGAAAGAAGCAGCCTCACTCTGTGTCTTCTTGCCTGGCAGAGTTTGCCGGGAATGAGAGCTGGCCGGTGTCCTGCTCCAGCACAGGGACAGAAGGATGTCTTGTCACCAAGGAGGCCACAGGGTGGCCAAGACCAGCTCAGAGCCATTGACAAGCTCACTTAGTGTCTGGTCCACTTGCCTCCCCCACCGAGCACAGAGCTCTTGTCTCCACCATGCTGCTGGCCTTTAGGGCAAAAGGACGATCCCTTCCTCTAGAATAAGCTCATTTGGGAATTGCCTGCTTGACCATTTTGGACCTTGGAAACTGGACGTTTTCCTGGGCCAGTGAGCCCTGCTCAGAAGAAGGGGGACAGAAGCTTTACAGCCTTGCCACCTCCCCACCAACTCCAACAAGACCTCTGAGGTTCATTGGCTATTTGGAGGGAAATGGCTTCCCCATTTAAGCAGCGCCCTTTTGATCTCATTCCCTTGGTCAGATGTAACCAAATTTCAAAAATCAAGCTTTTGGTCTCATATCAAAAGTCATATCTTCCTTGATATATTAAGGAAAATAAGTAAGGAGTGGGACCCTGCGTATAGGATGCTACTACTCTGTTTTTCAGGGTTACGTATGGTGCTGATTCATCCATAGACTCTCTTGGAAGAATTCATAGCTGGTAAGAGGGGTTGCTTCTGACACAGGAAACTAGGGGGTGGGGTCCCAGGGCAGCATTCCTTATCAGTGCTTATTCTCTGGAACACCTGCATATTTCGCCATGTACAGGTACTATTTGAACGAAAGAAACAGTATAAGAGAAAGCAAAGCCAAACAAACAAAAATGGTCTCCATGGATACAGGTAAAAGGGTGCCTCTCGACAGAACTCTTCTGCAACACTTTGGTTGCAGAATGATAACAAAATCCTCGAGTCTCTGCCAGCCAACTGGCCTCCCCAAAGCCCAGGAGGAGGGAGGCTTGGAACATGCAGGGAAGGGGCAGTCCTGCGGAGCACAGAGAGCAAGGCGGGACAAAGACGAGGCTGACATGATACCCCAGAAAATACAGACCCTTGTAGGCATCCAAAACCTCCGGGCTCTCCCCAGGTGGATGACAGGAGCCCCTGAAGGATTTAGAAGCAGGAATCCCCTGAAGGATTTAGAAGCCCACCAGAAGTGGGCTGAGGTCAGAATGGACTTTCCAAGGATGACACTGGTAGGTAGGTACTGGGCTGGCTGACTTGGAGGACAGTTTGGAGGCAGGGAGACCAGGAAGGATAGCCTTCCTTCTTCATTGCCATGAGACACGATCACCATCCTGACCTCAGACAAAGAGGGGTAGATTCCTCAGAGAGTGAAGCGCCCAAATCATGGGGTGCAGTGGAGGCCTTGGCCTTTCTGGTCATTTCCTGTGGACTAGGATCCCCTCTGTGAAGACTGAAGGCTGACATTCTTCCTCCTCCTGCAGCCTCTTTCATGGCAGGGCTGAGCAGGGCCAGTGACAGCTGATGGGGCTCTAGCTTGGGACATGAAGACGATCCTTTAGGACTGCAAAAGCCCCCAGTTTCCTTTTAGGTAATTCAGGGGAAGTATGAGCCCAAGTAGGATAATAGAAGACTCTCCTCCCAATTTGACTCAGGACAGAATTTTTTAAAGATTTTATTTATTTATTTATTTGAGAGAGAGAACACAAGCAAGGGGAGGGGCAAAGGGAGAGGGAGAAGCAGGCTCCCCAATGAGCAGGGAGCCTGACTCAGGACTCAATCCCAGGACCCTGGGATCATGACCTGAGCCAAAGGCAGACACTTAACCACCTAAGCCACCCAGGCTCCCCCGACTCAAGACAGATTAAATTCAAGTTGAAAATGAAAGCAGTTGGACCAGTCTTGTTTCCTGAGTGCAGGCAGCAGCTCATACCTCTTAGAGCTGTTTTATTTAGAGGCAAGAAACAGTTAATATAATGGCGCCCTTGTATCTAGGAGCGACGGACCTTTTTCTTCTTTGGAGAGAGAGATTTCTTGCTCTTGGTGAAGACCCTTGAAGATTGTAGTTTAAACTCAACTGGAAAGTGGTCGCTGACATCCAAGGCCTATCAAGAGAAAAGGGAAATGAATTTGGGAGTTAGGAGACTGTCATTTTAGTGATGAACAAATTCAGGCTCAAGGTGGGAAGATAAAACCCCTAAAGTCATGCAACAGAACACACACTAGTGAGCATCATCCTTGGACCAGCTCAATCAGAAATTTAGATAGGTCTTCAAGCCACAGAGTCATTGACTTTGAGACTCAGGGACCAATGGCCCGATGTTGTATCTCCAGTGGTGGCCTCAAAGGATGACCCCTGCCCATCTTCCCAGGACAGTGGCACAGAAAGACAAAGATGGCAGCTGTACCTCCTTTTCGGTCAATTCATAAACTTTCTGAAAGTTAAAGGTGCTGTTTGATTTGGGAACAACAGAGCTGATGATCTCTTGTCCTCTAAGCACGATCCTAGAGAAAGGGAGAGAAGACCGTCCCATTAATCCACCTTGTTGATTTCTGAAACAAACCAAGTTTCCTGTTTGACATCTGGAATTGACTGAGGAGCCTGGCCATTTCGTGTGATGTTCAAAGCCCAGGCCTGGTTCTGTGATCCTTAGGACAGTATCTAAGACTGGGGAAATTAGATCATCCCCTGCTGGGGCCCTGTGGGTCCCCGCACAGCGTTTCCCTGTGTGGGCAGTAGCCCTGAAGGTGGAAGAGAAGATTTTATATGAGACATGGACATCACACCGTGGAGCAATGACTTACATACTGAGAATGTTGTTCCCTTTGCAATTATTTTTCACTTTTATTATGGAGAAAGGTGCTGGCTTATCTTTTTTTTAAGGTTTTATTTATTTATTAGAGAGAGAGATTGGGAGTGTGCATGGGGCGGGGTGGGTGGAGGGCAGAGGGAGAGGGAGAAGTAGACTCACTGCTGAGCAGGGAGCCCGATGCAGGGCACGATCCCAGGACCCCGGGATCATGACCTGAGCTGAAGGCAGACACTTAACCCACTGAGCCACCCAGGTGCCCCTGGCTTATCTTTAATAACCCCTAAGCTCCCATTTTGACCAAGACAGAGTATGCTACAATCACCAAGCACTCTGCAAGCAAGATAATTAAGGCAGAATTTAACATTGTTCGGTTTTCACTGGGCTTATTTTTTTTAGTTATTTTCGATTTATGACTAATGATGCTATTTTCTTACCTTACCATGAAATTTCCTTTAAAAATTAATTTACTTCATTAGAAATGAATGAATTTAAAGACAAATACAAGGAAAAAACCATAGTACAGGGCTTTGTAGCGACAGCAAAGACTGGGAACATGGTAATTAAATGAGTTTTGGAACCATGGACTCTAACCTATCCCAAGTGGAGTGACGCATTTGGGATCTGCATGGCCCCAACGGACTGAGTGAGGAAGAACAAGGTGAGTCAAACTGCCAGGTCATACTATCCATTGAGCTTTTCCTGATTCCAACTGGGCTGATTTGCTTTCCTGTGTTTGCTACCAATCCCACTGTGGTTAACTGTGAACTCAGTCCACAAGTAAACTCTTCACATTCACTTGGAGATTTCTTCAAGCCGTCCTTCAGACCCAGAGACTCAAGAGCAACATAGTTAAGGCTCCCCCGTTTCTGACTTCTAGGGACATGTGTGGGCAGCTCAGCTGATGGTTGAAGGCTTTCCCGAGGCTGCTCCACCTGCACAGGCCAGTTCTTGCCATCTTTTGTGTCCAACAGCGAACAGCTCATGGTAGGTAAATAAATATTTGAACACAGAACAAAGACTGGAATTGAGACCACTTCATCTTACTCCCCTTACTAGAAATGTATACCCCTTTTATTAAAAAAAAAATTTTTTTAAGTGGGCTCCATGCTCGAACTCACACCCCGTGATCAAGAGTCGCATGTTCTACCAACTGAGCCAGCCTGGCACCCCAGAAATTTATATCCCCTTTAAAAAAACATAAAAGAGTGATGCTTGGGTGGCTCAGTCGGTTAAGCATCTGCGTTTGGCTCAGGTCATGATCCTGGGGTCCTGGGATGGAGCCCCGTGTCAGGCTCCTTGCTCAGAGGGGAGCCTGCTTCTCCCTCTGCTTGCCACTCCCACTGCTTGTGCTCTCTCTTTCTCTGTCTCTGACAAATAAATAAATAAATATCTTTTAAAAAAACATAAAAGATATATGCTGGTCTAGAAAACATAGAAAATCCAGAGCAACAAATGAGAAATTAATCTTTGAAAAAATCACAGGTAATCCTGCCATCCTTTGGCATATGCGTATAAACCCGAGGTTCTTTTAGTAAATACCTTTTAACCTGTTCCCCCACCCCACCTAATCTGTGAGCATCCTTCCCGGTGATGCACTGTTCTTCTGCTTCATTATTTTCAATCACCTCTCCCTCGCTGGCCAGGGGAGAATGGGGCCACAGAAGGGACTTGACCTGCCCAAGGCCACACACACAGCATGTGCGAGCAGGCTAGTGGGCGAGTGGCTGTCTCTGACCCACTCTGCTGGCAAGCCCTCAAAGTCAGAGGGAGAGTGCAGGCACCGGGGAGCCCAGGCTCCTGCCTTCCCGCCTCCTTCTGCTTTCACCAATGCTAGGGCACTTTTCACTCTCGGGAGACAGAGCAGAGATTTCTGCAAAGAATACATCAGCCCTGAAAGCTCCAAGAGGAACAAAGGAGGTCATGGGATGGAAGTGAAAGCCTGACCTCAAAACTAGAGAAGTGAGAACAACTGTCTTCTGGCAGAAGCCATCTGGTGCTTCCTTGGAGGAAGGCCGAGCTCTGGGAACCGCGGCTGCCGCAGGTTCTGCTACGGATGGGAAGATCAGGAACATTCACATGCTTCGAGTGCCTCCCACACCTCCCGGTTTAAGAGGCAAAAGTGAAAGCTGACTGAAAATCCCCCGGGAGATTTTACAATACTGTTTTTTTTTTTTAATGTAAGCTCTACAGCCGACGTAGGGCTTGAACTCACACTCTGAGATCAAGAGCCGCGTGCTCTGCTGACTGAGCCAGCCCGGTGCCCTGAGAATGCTGTTATTTAAAGGTATGTATTTGCGGGCGCCTGGGTGCCTCAGTTGGTTAAGCAACTGCCTTCGGCTCAGGTCATGATCCTGGAGTCCCGGGATCGAGTCCCGCATCAGGCTCCCTGCTCAACGGGGAGTCTGCTTCTCCCTCTGACCCTCTTCCCTCTCATGCTCTCTATCTCTCATTCTCTCTCTCTCAAATAAATAAATAAAATCTTAAAAAAAAAAATAAAGGTATGTATTTGCATTTAGGAATGTATAGCAAAAGCTTTAAAAGTATAAATACTCCTCTACTGGTCTCATATGGAATGTCCATTTCAGCAGTGCTTATGCTTGCAAACTCTTGGCAATAACCTAAGCTCAGTGACAGGGGACTTGAGTGACTAAATTCTGGTATGTCTTCATGATGAAATAATTAACAGCCGGTGAATGTGTGGAACACTTATCATCTGCCAGGCATTGTGTGAGAAGACATATACTACTTCATCTCCTCCTCCTCATGGTTCCATGAATGAGGCTCGACTACAATCTCCGTTTTACAGGCCAAGAAGCAAAGACACACAGAGCTTAAGTCTCTCGGTCACAGACCTGAGGTGGTAGAGGCAGGATTTGAAGCCAGGCCTGCACTAGCCACTGCTAAGCTACAATGCTCAGGGCTCCCAGTCCTGGTCGTGCAGGTTGCACACTGCACAAGTACCCGATGCAACCAGGTTCTTCCACCGCCCTGAGGGGGGCGCCTTTTCTGAGGCATGTCAAGCACCGCACGGGCTAGCCTGAGTCGGGCAGATGCCCCTTACCTGTCATATGCGCAGCTGGTGCTCCCCTTGACCGTGGTGTCCTCTTGGTCCGCTATCAGCCAAACAAACCTGGGGTCAGTCCTCAAGCGGATGTTCTTCCAGGCCTTCTTGGGGACATAGCTACAGCCAGCATTGAAGTCACCCATGAAAATGAAATTCTGAAAGAGTTATTTGGAATCGTCACCTTCTGGGTATTATTGTCAAATGCTTTTCCTTAGAACTGCTAGGGATGACTCCACCTCCCATGCCCAGTAAACAGTGGGTTCTGTTATGGGCTACATTGTGTCCTCCCCAACCCCCCCCCCCAATTCATATACTGAAGTCCTAACGCACAATACCTTATGTGACTGTATTTGGAGAGAGGGCTTTTAAAGAGGTGGCCAAGGTAAAATGAGGTTATATGGGTGGCCCCTAATCCAATATGACTGGTGTCCTCATAAAAAGAGATTAGGACACAGAGGGAAGACCAAGGACTGAGCCTTCAGGAGAAACCAACCCTGCTGACACCTTAACATTGGACATCCAGCTTCCAGAGCTGTGAAGAAAACATTTCTGTTGTTTAAATGACCCAGTCTTTGGCAGCCCTGGCAAATTAATACAAGATCTTTCTTCATTTCTTTTTCTTTTTTTTTAAAGATTTTATTTATTTATTTGAGAGAGAGAGAGCGCACGCCAGCACAAACAGGGGGAAGGGCAGAGGGAAAGCAAGCACCCCGGCGTCATGACCTGTGCCGAATGCAGAAGCTTCATCAGCTGAGCCACCCAGCTACCCTGATTTCTTTTTGGTTTTTAAAGTTGAAAATGGAGTCACAGTTTGGATAAGTATTTGACAGGTGAGGACGTACAAGGGAAGGTATTGTCACTGGGCAGGAGGACGTTTGCTGTAACCATTCCATCCTGTTCTTAGTCACCATGTCTGTATCATTCAGCATGCTGAGTTAGGTGAGGATAAAATAATCCAGCTCACTTATTCCCTCAAATCTTTCTGGCTCAAACTACTGTAGGGTATAAATATATGAATGAATCAACGCCTTTTGTTTCCAAGCAGGAAAGATGAATTTGGGTGGTATGACAGCTTTGGCACCATGATTTCTCTTCTATTGTTTGGAGGTTGGGAACTTACTCCTGTGGAAATTCTATCTACTGAGGAAGTGGGAAGAGCCTGAAAGGGAGGGCGTGATAGAGTGAGTTGTCCACCGCTGCCCTGAGGCCACCAACAGAACCTTCTATCTTGAAAGTGTTTTTCCCTACAGAGCTTTTGGAACAAAATTTTGATATTCCTCAACCCAGAGGAAGTGTCAGATTTCCTGGTTGGTGCTATTGTTTGGGGCTCTTGCTGACTTTGGAGTTTTCTTCAAAAACATTTTATTTTGACCTCAGAGATCATGGTTTTCCCTGAGATTGATGGGTGCGGCTGAGGACAGAATGTCATCCTTAACCCGAGTGGCCACCAGCTCCTATTGTTATAGGCACGATTTACTGAGCATGCACTATGTGTCAGGCCAAGCATTAAATGTTTCATAAAGTTGAGGCGCCTGGGTGGCTCAGTCAGTTACACATCCAACTCTTGATTTCAGCTCAAGTCATGATCTTGGGGTCCAGGGATGGAGCCCCACGTCTGGCTCTGTGCTCACCGTGGAGTCTGCTTGTCCCTCCCCCTCTGCGCCTCCCCTCCCCCGTGCTCCCTCTTTCTCTCAAATAAATAAATCTTAAAAAAATGTTTCATAAAGTTTAAGTTAAATCTCACAATAAACACTAGGAGGTAGAACGGACGTTTAATCCCTGCGGAAACAGGATAGAGGGATAAAGTGACCTGCTCTAGACCACTCCACTCATTGGCTCAAGTGGTAAAGTCAAGAATTCAATCCTGATCTGCCTCACTGAAGGCCCTCAGCACAAGAGTAGTCCCTCTTACTCACTCTCGGGCCAGCAATGCCTCCCTAGTGCCTCACATTTAAGAAATGCTCAATAAATTCTTGTTAAATGACAATTCAAAATTTTAGCAATGAATGAGTCTTTCTCATGCCTGGCTTTTTACAAATAAGCAATGAATTACACACCTTGTGCTCTCCATGTCTTATAGCTCTGTGTCCCCACTTTACTTGACTCATGTTACACTCTGAACGGTGGAACTGAAAGGAGGGGTGTCACTGGAGTCACATCCCAAAAGGAGGAAAGAGGAGGTAGAGCCCTCAGGAACACTTCCTTATTTGCCAAGAGCTTTCACAGACCCTCAGAGCCATGGGGGGGTGGTGGGTGGCATCGCTGTTTTCCAGATGAGGAAATAATTGAGGTCAAGAAGGATGGTGGATATAGTCCCCTAGATAGCACCCCTAGATTCTTGGGGAAACCACTTCCCTCCTTCACCTCAGTCTGTAAGGTTGGGCTGAAGCTCACACAGATTTAACCAATCAGAGTTTCTCAACCTCCTTGGTCACAGAGGTTGGTTCAGGGATGGACATATGACCCAATCAGGGCCAATGGGACTCCACTCTGGGGCACCTGTTGCATTATGTGGGTGGGCTGGAAGCCCACATTTTAGTTACATGAACCAATAAATTGCACCTCCCTTTTCAGGAACCAATTTGAGAGTCTGTCCCTTGCCATGAAGGACTCCTGACCTCTGTGTGTCTCACTGTTCTCATTGCAAAGAGAGAATGATAAAGGTAGTTAGTCGTGGGGTTATTGGGAGCATTAAACGAACTTGTCCATGTTCAGCCTCAGCATAGGGCCTCGCACCAGCTATTCACTCGGTGATTCGGAGCAGTGTATGAATTGCCAAGACCCACGTGGGCGGTACCCAGGCAGATTTAGCAAGAAGGATATCTAAGGCTGAGGTTAAGGTCTAAAATGAGGCTCTAACAGGGTGGTGGGCTGCACATGTCCTGCCCCCACTCGCCCTCCCGGGGAGTCGCTCATCCCTTCCCAGAACCAGATTCTGCCTCTGCTAGATGGGAGTTCAACAGACAGAGAAGATCATCACCTCTGCCTTCCAACGGCGTTTCACGTCCCAGTAGACATCAGCCAGCTTATCAATCTCTTTCATGGAGGTCTCAGGGGTGGTGTGCAGGGGGACAATCACGAAGTCCTTGACAACTGAGGAACAGGAAAGAGGCGGAGGTCACATGCACACTTCCCTGAACAGGGGCAGGTTCCATGAACACTGCTCCTGGGAAACGGGCTGTCCCCCCAGCCCAGACTGCACTGTCTGGGTCTCCTCATTTCTAGAGGGTCCAGCCGGTGGCTGAGATGTGAATGTTCTTGGGACTGTTGGGCCGCTCTTTTCAGCACACGAAAGCTTCTTTTCACCCACTCACTGCCTGGCTAAGAGAAAGCTGGTAGACAGGCCTTCTTGCTGACATTGTGGGTGTTTTTCTCATTTTTTGAAAAATGATATTTTCTACTTTTTTAAAAAATAAGCCTCTTCGGCTTTTGTACTAAAGAAATATGTTTTTTCTGATTAAAAAAATATCGAGGCTTGTCAGTTTATGCTTCTTGTATAATCTGGAAAAAAAGCCCTTCTAAAATTATGGTTTTTTTTAAAAGCAGCTTTTTGTGAAATATCTGAAAACCTCCCCCCACCAGGAGGGACTGAGAAAGCCTGCATCAGAGACTGTGGGTGAGCCTGGGAACCGTGCCTTGCCCACCTGCCAGGGGTAGCTGACGTGTTCTGGACGCCTCTTCCCTGGGCTTTCCCTCGCCCAGTGCCTGGGTCCCTGCTCCTACTTAGGAGCTGAAGGCTGGTGGGGGGTCAGGACTCAGATCAGGAAGCCTGTCTCCAGGACCCCACACTTACTCACCAGCCTTATCTCCCCCCGCTCCTCCTCAGGCCTCCACTCCACTCCCCATCCTCTCTTTGGTCCCCCCAAACACCCCCACCCCTTCCCCACCTGTGAGCTTGTGTGTGCTCACTGGGATCTCCCCCTGGAATGTCCCTTTGCCCAACTCTCTGTGACTGGCTTCTTCAGGTCACAGCCCAATGTCACCCTGAAGAGGCCATCTGTGGCCTACCCCATCTAAGGCGGGCTCCTCACCCCACCATGGAATGCACCCTGCTTTTACTTCCTTCGTGCTCTGAAATTACTTGCCGTGCTTCTTAGTTTGGCCCACTGGAACCAGAGATCTGTCTTGCTCACCCTCTTGGCTCCAGCACTTAGCATAGAACCTGGCCCATGGGAGGGACTCAAAAATGTTTGTTGATTGAATACGTGATTGATTGAATGAATGAATAAAGGAAAGAAATGACAAATGAATGGCTAACTCAAATAGAGGGGACATAAGGATGTTTCCTTGTACAAGAGAGAAAATTCCAAACAGGGCGTGGCTGCGGTGCCATCCTCGGGGAGGAGGGGAGAAGGGTGAAAAGGTGGATGCTCAAGACAAACAGGTTTGTTTAGCAATGTTTAGCTATGCGTAGCTGAAGACTCTCTTCAAGAAGGTGTGGGGTGCTCTTCAAATACGGTCTGGTCAGCCAAGTGAGAATCGTGTGCACGACAAAGGTGATTATTACACATGCTCTTTGAAGTGCGTTTCTGCCCTAAACAGCCCCCACCTCCTTCTCTTTTTCTACTGGAAATTTCCTCCACCATTCCTCTATGTTTGTTTTCCTGAAGTACTAATTAAGCCAGGGCAGAAATAGTTACCTTCCTCGTTCAGGCTGTTTATATCTGTGTAATATATATGTGGGTGTGCATACGTACCGCTCTGCGTGTATTTATTTGGGCAGTATCTGTCTTGCCCACTACAACATAACTTCCCTAGGACAGGGACCTTGTCTGTCTTGTCCAGTGCCTGGAACAGAGCCTAGCATGTGGTAGGTACTGAAAAAAATATTTGATTCCATATAGCTCCAATCTGTAAACCAAATTAATTCTTGACTTTCCATTCAGAGACCCCCAGTGGTTAAGAGTGTGGACGCCCAAGATAGTGGCTTGGGTTACAATCCTGCTCATTCATTTCAAGAGCTACTGAGTGACCTTGGGCAAGTGACTCCACTTGTTTGAACCTTGGCTTCCTCAAATGTAAAGTGAGGATAATCCTAGGTCCTCCCCTGCAGGATGTTGCAAGGATTACAGGAACCTAACACTAATCAGGGATCAATAATTATTAGTGGCTTATGCAAGTGTAGTTGTCTAAGTTCAAAGGTGCAGTCATTTGGATTTCCTCTCTACGCCCAGTCTGTGGAGATTGGAGGGGGAGGGACGGATGGAGGGACAGGGAGGCTCTAGGTTGGGGAGGGAGAGGGAGACTCCAGGTTGGGGGTTCATCTCTGCTAGCCATGCCTGGGATTTTTTTTTAATGACGTTGTATTTGATTGGGACTGAAGAATTGTGGTAAATAATTTCCATCAGCCTAAATGCTCCAAAGAGAGTGGAGTTATCACCGATTTCAGAAGGTGGGTTCCAGGTTGAGGAGGTCTTGATCATGGCATTTTGAGAAGCCAGGCTACATCCTCAGCATTCAAATATTAGACGTTCTTAATGGCCATCTCAAGTCTAATGCCTCCCTAACGACGCTGTGCAAACCCTGGGATCCCAGCTCACACTCGGGGCTACTGTCCATTCGTGCAATCACAGGAAGATCATGCTCAAGAGGGGCCTGTGGGTCTCACCGGTGTGGAGTGACTGGAACCAGACCACAAAGGGTTCCCTGGAAAACACATCTGCGTCTCCAGCTTGATAGTCATGGTAGAGGTAATATTTCTTCACAGAAACTAGCTTTTCCCTAGAAATAAAAAAAGGGAAGCCCTTCCAGTTGAGTCAGTTGTCTTCTTACTTCATTCAAGAAGCAGAGACATAGCCCATGGTCTTATTAGCCCCCCAGGCAGGCTCTTGCTCTGCAAGGGATCTTTCGCTCGACAACAAGTTTCTGTCAATTCTTCTCAATGGCCAGAGCCCTTTGAAAGCTGGCAATCTGAACAGTGCCAGTTATCTGGGGCACCCACAAGTTAATGTTCAGACTTAGAACAAATTACTGGTAGGAAGAAGACAAGACTATGAAGTTTCAGAGTCAGCCATGCTGGGCAGCTCAGGTCTCTATCCCTCGGCTTGGACTTGACTGTGAAGGATAAAGAACTGACCCTGCAGACCAGGCAGGCCCTGAGTCAACCAACAAATTCGGTGTCAGGAAGCTGCTTGCACTTTTTAGTTTGAGGAGATAATGCTTTGCTTTGGCCTCAATTTGACAGCAATTATTTTGATCAATATTGAGAACTGGTTAGAGATCATTAGAGATCCAAATTTGGTTTTGAAGAAAAGAGATGCATTTTGATTCAATTCACAGTCATCATTTATAAGTGAATCATGTCCCAGGAAACAGAGGTTATACTTACTTGTAGAGAAAGGCATACTGTTCTTTATATGTGTTTCTTCCAAGCCGAGAGCTAATCACATAGTTGTACATTATGCTTCTTCTTGAGTTTCTAGAAAACATAAAGATTTTACATTGCATCTTAAAAAAATAAGCATTCCCCTGCTGCATGCTCCCCTCTCTTCAATCTGTGTCCATATCGCCAATGGCATCATGAAAAAAGGCTGCCATTCATCATAACCTTAGAGTCTAATGAGAAGGGTCACCATCGACCATGAATGTGACATCTCTCAGGATCTTTACAGCCCTTATCTCTTGCCCTTAGGAGGTGGGTAGTATTGTTACCCATTTTTTATAGTTTGCAGGTGCAAAGCTGGGATTTGAGCTCAGATCCTACATACCCCAAATCCACATGCTTTGGCCTGCACCTGTGGGACATTATTGAGACCAAAAAAGATTCAGTCAGAATCAGCCCCAAATCCCACTCTGGCTCATGGCTGGGGCTGACCTCATACTCAGGTTACCCTGTCCCTGCACCACCCCTGAACATTTCTCATAGGCAGGATTCCTAGTACCATTTTCATTGGACATTCACTCCTGCTCTGAAAACCCCCAAACAATTTTCTCACGAGTCCTGCAACTATGATTTCAAATCAGCTATTGTTTATGTCCTGGGGGCTAGAGATACAGCTGTGAAGTCCCATTAACTCTACCCTTCATTTATACCAGGGTAATGGACTCTCCGTGTGTTTGCCAAGGCTGCTGATAACTCCACCCTGGGCAGAGCCTGACATGGTTTTACTCCATTCACACACAAAGATCTAGGGGCATATCCAAGCTGTGGCATGTTCTCAGGTTCGGTTGAAAAATAGCAGAAGGGGTCTTTAGGAGCCAACTGAGGCCCTACCGAAATTCCTGGGAGTGCAGATACATCTTCTAAGGCAGATCCGGCCACTGGGGCCTGAGAAGTATGGACAGTGGATTCTACTAGGCTTCCAGTTTGGGAAGGCTGGCCTTGTTCCGAATCTCGCCTGCCAAATTTTGGGTTGGCAAACTGCTTGCAATGACTCAGCTGTGAGGCGACTAAGGCCCCTCCTGGCTTACGGGGGATAAGGGGACAAACAGGCCTGCATCTGCCTGGAGTCCTTGGCACAGTCTAGGGAGGTTGGGGAGAACTTAGAGCAGTGAGGGTGGGAAGACCCGATCCAGGCTGGCTGTGTGGAGGGGCTTGCAGCCCCCTGCTCTCCCATACTTCTGAAAACTGACCGGAGCCCCTCTATGGAAGACTGAGGAGGGTCAGAATAGAGCAACAGCTTTAAAGTCAGACAGGACCCAAGTCCAAAGGTAAGCTCCACCATTCACTGGCTGGGGGAACTTGGGCGGGTCCCTCCTCTCTGTGCCTCGGTTCCCTCAGCTATAAGGGAAGCATTAATAGTACCGAGCCTACAAAGTTGTTGTGGGAGTAAATGAAATAGCACACATAAATTGATTAACAGGATTCCTGGCATGTAGTTAGGGTATCGATGGTAGCTGTTACACGTGGCCCTCTGGACCACCATCTGCCATCATAATTTTCCTCCTTTTACTCATAATAGACACCACCAGCACTTACTGATCCCTACTATGTGCCAGGCACAGTCCAACCAGTTGTATGCAGGATTTAATCACTGCCACATCCCAGGAAGATGGGTTCCATTATTAGCCAGGGAAAATGAGGTACAAATAGGTTGAGTAACTTGCTCAAAGGCATAGCAGAGCCAAGATCCAAACACAAGTGGTGTGAGACAAGTGTAGGTGCCTAGCCCTTGTGCTAAACCCCCTTTTCTATTGTCAAAGATCAGATCTAGAACCACTGAGGCTAAAACATATATTTAGATGAGAAACTGAGGCCCATAGAGGGGTGAGGCCAGCCCAAGAGGCCTCCGTGTAAATGAGAGTGTCCAAGGCTGGACCCTAATGAGGCTGGATTGACCATTCATTTATTTTTTTTAAAAAATGCGAGTTTTCTTAATTATAAAAGTATAATGATGACCAGGTATACTGGATGGTAGATTACATGGTTGTTTGTTAACATTTTCTCTGTGCTTTTAAGGATGTTTAAAATGTTTCATAAGAAAAAGGAAAGGAGGTATAACATTCTCATTGTAGAAAACCTGGAAAATACAGAAAATATATAGAAGACATCACATTTAAATTCCTTGTAATTTTTACTCTGAGATAGCCTTGGTCAACTGTTTGGTTCGCTGCTTTGGAATCTTTTAAATGTTTTTTTGTTTTGTTTTTCTTTTGACATAATTGAGTTACTTGGTACATATTATTGTAACTCTAGTTTGTGGTGTAATCTTACCTCACATGTACAAAAGAAACATTATATCAGAAGTTTTTAAAAATTGGAGTGCATCAGAATCACCTGGGAAGGTTATTTAGATGAACCTTATTCTCAGGGATCCCACAGACATTCTCATTCAATAGACTGGCGGTTCTTGAATGTGCCTTTTTAACTCACTTTGGGGTGATTTACAGGTGGGTGGCTCTGCTGATTATTCTTTGAGAACGAATATAAATCATAAATATAATCCAGTGTAATCAAAGATTATTTGAGGACATTGTCTTTTGGGGTTTTCTGAAGTTATAAAATCAATTCAGACTTTTTGTGAAATATTCAAGTCATATAGAAATATATAGAGTAAAAAGTAAATGTTCCCCATTTCTTCACTGACCCTGTCCACAGTGGTCTTACAGTCACACCCACCCCCTGGCCCAGAAGTAACCACTGTTATCAGTGTGGAGTGCATCCTCCGGTTCTTTCCTCTATACCCATGCAAACTCAAACACACTCTTATTCATGCACAGTATAATGTGAGCACTAAAATGGGCTACTCTACCTACAGTTCTGAACCTGCTTTCTTCAATATACTGCAGCTGTCTTTCCATGCTGGAATATTTAGCTCGAACCTATTCTATAGTGAACGTGGTTTTTAATGGCTACATAATATTCCAGCCTATGGACATATCATAACTTCATATCTGTACTCAATCTTTTCCTTGTGACAGTAATTCTCATTTCAGCCTCTTGTCTCTTTCGTTTCTCTCTCTGTCCTGGCTCCTCATCTGTTGCCTCTATTTTGCTTTATCATATGAAAACTAGCCAGTCAAAAGTTCTCAGGACTGCAGCTAGAGGAGCTGGGAGCCTGGGCAGTGTTGGCCATGTGACCTGGTGGTCAGGGCGACTGCTGGCTTTCACACTAGTTTCAGTTCCCCGGGCTTTTCAGGTGCCCTTGCACTTGACCCTGAGCCTGCAGGGGGTCCAGCCCCCCGGCCCCGCCCCATCTTTACCCATTTAGTCTCTCCATCAGTGTGGGACAGATGATGTTGTTGCTGTCCTTGATTTCCATCAGGAGTATGATATCACAGCGTTTGATGACCTGCGGAGACAGAATTCGCAGATGTTTCAGGCAAATAATCTACAGATAATAAAATCTTTTATTGGGCACTGTGTTTTAAGTATAGGATTGGTGTTTTGTTAAAGTAATTAACTTCATTGCTGAAACAAGTGAGGAACTTCCTGAAGTAGGTAGTATCGTTATGTCCTTTTTATTTTATTTTATTAAAGATTTTATTTTTAACTAACCTCTACGCTCAACGTAGAGATTGAACTCACAATAGTAAGATCAAGAGTCGAAAGCTCCGCCAACTGAGCCAGCCAGGCGCCCCAGTTATGTCTATTGTAAAGATGAGGAGCCTGGGGCTCCAAGGAAGTCGAGTAAACTACCCAAAGTCACTCAGCTAGAAAGTGGCTGAGACAATGCAAATCCAGGCAATCCGAATCCAGAGCCTATGATCACATGACCACACATCCTATACCTTGGCTTTGCTTGAATAATCACAATCAATAATAAATATTTATTAAGCTCTTAGTGAGAAGTATACGGCTGGATATGGGTCTCCCCAGTTCACCAGGCAACAAAATTATAATAATCAAAATTATAAGGGCTAACGTGAGCCTACTCTGAGCCTCACCAACTCGGTGACATGACTATGATTATTAGCTCGCTAAACATAGGAGGAAACCAGGCTCAGAGTGATTGAGTGAAAAGTTTGAAGTCACACAGCCAGTATATAGATAGCAGAGTCAGGATTTAAAATTCAGGTTCATGTGACTATAAAGCCCACCACGCTGTTAAAATACCAGGGAGAGCTGGGTCTGGCCACCAAGCCAGCCTGCTGATTTAGTCACTTGTCACCGTCAGACCTTTCTGGAAGGCACCTTAAAGTATATACCTAGGGGTGCCTGGCTGGCTCGGTTGGTGGAGCATGTGACTCTTGATCTCAGAGTTGTGAGTTTGAGCCCCACGCTGGGTATAGAGAGTACTTAAAAATAAGTAAAATCTTTTTAAAAAATACTCTTTAAAGTATCTATCAAAAGCCTTAGAGAATGTACTTACCCTTTGGCCTATTTTCCCACCTCACGGAAGGTCTTCTATTGTAATGAAATATCTACTATTTCTCGGCATCTCAGCGCCCTCATCTATAGATTGGAATGGTGGTAGTTATTCCCTCACAGGGTTGCTGGGTTACTTAGAGCAGTGCCAGCCATATAAGAGGCACACAATAAATTATTATTGCTATTATTATTACTTGTACAGATCAAAGAGGAAGATGCATTTTAACAACAACAACAAAATTGGAAACAACCTAAGTATCCCCAAATAAGAAAGCATTAAATGAAAGATAGCATAGGGCATTATATAGCATTAAAAGTCATGTTTATGGGCGCCTCAGTGGCTCAGTCTGTTAAGCGTCTGTCTCTTGATTTCAGCTCAAGTGATGATCTGCCCCATGTCAGGCTCTGCGCTGGGCATGGAGCCTGCTTAAGATTCTCTCTCTCCTTCTGCCCCTCCCCCCTTTAAAAAAAGTCATGTTTTAAAAGAATAGTAACAAAATAAATAAATAAAAGAATATTAACAACATTTGAAATGCTTCTGATATAAAAGCAGGCTATAAAACTGATGATATAGGGTAGTCTCCATGCTGAAAAACAGATGCAAATTTATGTATTTATTTTTGCATAGAAAAATGCCCATAATGCCCTAAATGCCAATAGCTTTTATCTTCCAGTGATGGGATAATGCTTCTTTATATGTTTCTATATTTTCAAAATAATCCCTGATGACTATTTTTTACTTAATAAAATTAATTTAGAAATTATAAATTTATAATTTTAAAAAATTATACCTTTCTAATTAAAAAATATTAAAGTGTTATTTAAAAAAGAAGACTGCAGGGCGCCTGCGTGGCTCAGTCAGTTAAACATCTGCGTTCAGCTCAGGTCATGATCCCGGGTCCTGGGATTGAGCCCCACATCGGGCTCCCTCTCCCTCTGCTCCTCTCTCTTGCTCTCTCTTTCACGTAAATAAATAAGTAAAGAAGAATATAAAATTCCTGGCCTAGAGCAGGTGCTCAGACACGAGGCCCTGTAAATATTACTGCCCTGAATGTCTGGGTTTGGGTTTCACTGCCTGCTGCTCCCCCTGGCTGTGCTCTCTGTGTCAAATAAATAAATAAAATCTTAAAAAAAAAAAGTTAGCTCTTATCATCAACTTATTGAATTTTTATAATAAACCTTCAATGTAGGTCCTGTTATTATCCCCATTGTGTAGCTGGGGACTCAGGCTCAGCGTGGCTAAGTAATCTGAACATCATGTGAATATGAATAATGGGATCCTCTACTACAGAGCCCCTCTTGACCACTATGCTCAACAATCAAGGAAATCACCATATTCCTGCAATTGTTCCATCTCCCTTTTCAATGAAATCCCTAGGTGCAGGGCAAAAATGGACGAGGGTTCAGACTCCCTTTCCTGAGCTGAAGGGTTAAGCTTTTAGGTTCCCTGCTTACAACCCTTTTGCCCACACAACGAACTCTCCAGAGCCCCACATCTCCAGCAGTTCCTCTAGCAGATTTCCACTTCCCTTGGGTACTTGCCTCTGAACCCCTGGGAACATTTCCTATAGATTGGAATCTACACCGTGGTGAGCAATGGCTCAAGATCTCATCGTCAGAATTCTCCTGGGGATGAAACCTATAACTTTAACTGGTTGGCCCTTAACTCTACGTCCATCCTCCCACCCATCTATCCATTCATTTGCTTATCCATCCAACAAAATTTTATCAGGGGCGTGCTGTGTACCAGACAACGTGCTAGGCCTTGCTTTACTCCCAACTGTACAGCATCTGGCATGAGTGAAGGAGTGAAGGGAGGGAGGGGGAGGGAGGGAGGGACAGGGAGCCATACTGGAACCAGTTGAGCCAAGTTTATAAAGCACAAATACCTTCCTGTATTTAACTCTTCTTTATGGCATTGTAGAGAAAAATGGGAATAAATTTCCTAGCCAGTCCTTTAAAAAATAATTTTGTTACAGTTTTCTTTTTTTTTTCAAGATTTTATTTATTTATTTGACAGAGAGATAGCGAGAGCAGAAACACAAGCAGGGGGAGTGGGAGAGGGAGAAGCAGGCTTCTGCAGAGCAGGGAGCCAGATGCAGGGCTTGATCCCAGGACCCTGGGATCATGACCTGAGCCGAAGGCAGACGCTTAATGACTGAGCCACCCAGGCGCCCCTACAGTTTTCTAATTATAAAAATAATGTTGCTTATTATAGAAAATTTGAAAAATACAGAAAAGACTATAAAAAATCATCTGATGACCTGTAAACCCACCACTCAGACACTTTTCACATGATTTCTCTACTTATGCATATTTACAAAATGACATCAAAATAACTAGGCTGTTAACTGAATCAAATGGCCTTAGATTCATATCTTGACTCTATTGCTCACCAGCTGTGTGACCCTGAGCAAGTCACTTAAGCTCCCCGAACCCGCCAGACTCCTTATCTGTAAATTGGGGCAATATCCTTCCCATGGGGTTGTCATGGGCATTAAAGGATATGATGGATGTAAAACATTCAGTCCAGTTCCTGGCACGGAAAAGATGCTCCGCAAACAGTGGCAATGTTTATCACACAGTCTGGGTCTTGTTGTTTTGTTTGTTTGTTTGTTTGTTTCCAGCCTCATGTGATGTTGTGAGCGTTTTCCCCACAGCAATTAAATACTCACTTTTCAGATCTATAACTGATACATCTTTTCCCTGACCCAGTTTCAGGCCAAGAAAAATATATCTCCCCTGACTCTATCTCTGCAGAATGAGGCTCCAAAGATGGGAGGCCCCCAGAAGGCCCTCCCAGACCTGAAACTCAAGATTTTCCTGACTCTGTTCACAGAGGGAGGGAGTAGAGGCTGAGCACAGCCAACAGTGAGGGCTTCCCAGCAAGCGGCGTTGTGTTGTGTGTGGGCCTGGGGAGAGCAGAAGGGACAGTCTAGAGGAGTCTTATGAAGACTCTGGGGCCTAGAGCAGCCTATGAAACCCTCTTTTGTGCCTCTAAACAGGGGGCAGCACAGCATGGGAGGGGAAAGAGCCCAGATAGGGTCAGTTAGGCCTGGGTCCCCATCCTTACTCTCACACTTACTGGCTCCATGACCCGGGACTATGTCCTCCTCTCTGAACTCCACTTGCCCATCTGCAAAAGACAATCCGAGGGGTTGTGAGGCTGAACTTGGATGCTGCACGTTAAGGGCCTGGCCCACAGTAAGCACTCCTGAAATTATAAGTACAATGTGCTGTGGGAGACAATGCTTATCACGTCCACCATCTCATCCCCGGTGCCTCAGGGCATCTGGCACATGGCCTACCTTCAGTGAGTATCTGTGGGATGAACGAATTTTGTACTTTAAGGACACAAACTGAGGGAGGGGACAGAAGCAGCCTTACCCAGGCAGGGTTTGGCATCTGGAGAACTGCTCGTGGTGCCGGCCAGCAAACCCAAGATGGAGAAGACAGACCTCCCTCACTCTCCAACCTCCCCAATGAAGGTCATAATGACAACAGCGTGATGAAGCTGGGCTCGTCTCCGGAGTGATCAAGCCAGTATGGAAGGGTGGACAAGGCATCTTCTCTAATAGGGTTGGGTTGTATGGCTGGATTCGATCCTGGCTCTTCCGCTTACCCGCTAGGGAATCCTGGGTAAGGCACTTCACCATTCTGAGTCTGCCTTCTTGGTTACAAAGTGGGGGCAATGCCACCTACGCCATAATATTAAATAAGAACATAGGGGCTCCTGGGTGGCTCACTCAGTTAAGCGTCTGCCTTCAGCTCAGGTCATGATCCCAGGGTCCTGGGACTGAGCCCCACATCAGGCACACTGCTCAGCATGGAGCCTGCTTCTCCCTCTGCTCCTCTCTCTTGCTCTCTCTCTCACATAAATAAACAAGTAAAGAAGAATATAAAATTCCTGGCCTAGAGCAGGTGCTCAGACACGAGGCCCTGTGAATATTACTGCCCTGAATGTCTGGGTTTGGGTTTCACTGTAAGTGCCCTCAATGGCTCTGGCAGTGTTTGGGGATGGTCTCTGTTTACGGGATGGTTTTGCAGCAAGGGGGTTCGGTAAGGAGTCCTTGACGGAGACTTCCCACACACTTGGTGTTTGGTGTGATGGGCCGTCCATCAGTCGGCCCTCTAGGATGTGGCAGCTCAGGGGAGGTGTGAGTGTAGGGCCCCAATGATGGAATCTCCAAGAACCAAAAGACAGCCTCTTAAGACTGTGATGACTGTTCCTGGGTAGAATAAGTGAGGAAGGTGATGGGCACTTGGGAACTCAGAGTTACCCAGGCTCCATGTGCCCTTGTGCGAGGAAGCAGGAAAAATAGTTTCCTGGTGCGTCAGAGCTCCCTGTTGAGCCAGGGAGTCTCGGCTCCCACAGGTTGGGCATGGCTGTTTTGGTTAAACGACCAGCGCTGGAAGGCCTTGGGTACCATCCAAAGGGCAGGTCCAGCCAGGGGGAGGGCGGTCTGAATGAGAACAGAGCATGTAGTCCTTGCTGTAATCCATTTCGTGTATTAATACCAACAGTGATGGTTCTGTAATCACCTGCCCGGTCCCAGGCTCTCCTGGGGCCCTTCCACACCTTGAGTTCTCTCTGCCAACTGGTGCTACAGGTTGGGTAAGCCCCACTTTCTGAAAGGCCCAGAGGCTCAGGGAGGAGAAGGGACTTCTCGCTCACACAGCTGCTGGGCAGGATCTGAACCCAGGGCTCCCGGGGTTCTCACCATACCACGGTGCCTCCAGGGTTTTCTAAGGTGATAATACCCAGACAGAGCCCCGGGAAAGGTTTCAGCTCCCAGCACCATCAAAGATAAATTAACCTGTCGGGTAAAGAGAGTCAACTGACTCCAGAGAAACGTGAGCAGTGACTCCAGACCTTGGTCATATTACCCAAGGGAAGTTTTATCTAAGTGGAGAGAAAGATTAGAATTGGTAGTAGGGAAAAGGTTGATGGGGTGGAAGGTGGAGAAGGAGGGAGAGAGGGGGTGGAGGGAGAGAGAGAGAGAGGAAGGAAGGAAGGAAGGAAGGAAAGCAGGAGGGAAGGAAGGAAGGAAGGAGGGAAGGAAGGAAGGAAGGAAAGAAGGAAGGAAGGGGAAGAAGGGAGGAAGGAAGAAAAAGAAAGAAAGAAAGAAAGAAAGACGGAAAGAAAAAGAAAAGGAAGGAAGAGAGAGAGAGAAAGAAAGAAAGAAAATGAAGGAAGGAAAGAAAAGAAGAGAAGAAAAAGAAAAGAGAAAGAAAGAAGAGAAAGTGAAAAAGTCTGTGCTGTGTTGATGGATAAAAAGACCAGGCTGGGCTCCCCTCCACCCCCCCACCCACCACCTACGTGAGGTCACTACACCTTTTGTTGTTCATCTCTTCGTGGAGGATAATAACCCTCCTTCTCAAGGGTGATGACATGAAATCGTGTATTTGTAGTGCCTGGCAGGGGCATTCGGTAAATGGTGATAAACATTATAGTAGTAGCCAGCCCTTCCCTGGAGCTTACTAGAAGCCAGATCCTGTTTTAGGAGCTTTACATTTACCAACTCACATATTCCCCCCAAACGGTCCCACAGGGGGGTACCGTCGTAGCTCCTGAGCACCCCTCATGTTCAGAGGATGACGTGAAGCCCGGAGAGGGCATGTGGCTGTTGGCGTTATTGCTGTCAGGGTTGTGACCGAATGCCAAGTCAGCTGCTACCTAGAGACTAACTTCGGTGACATTTCTTCCAAGTCTCTTCAAGTCTGAAAGCAGAGAGTGGGCGTGAGGGGTGTCCAGCGCTCTTTCTGACAGGAAGGGGGTCTCACCTTCACGATGACATCCATGGCATTCTTGTTTTCCTTCTTGGCTTCCCCAAAGGACTTCACGTTAAAGGAGCAGAGCCTCAGGGCCAGGGCACTGGTGATGGAAAGGCAGAGAAGCAGAAGGAAGGCCGGCAGCCGAGGCATCCTGGCTCAGCTCAGGCTTCACGAGAGGACAGCGGTGTCTGACGTGCGCGGGCTCCGGGCCACCTCCTCGGGCTCAGCTGACTTATAAAGGCTGCAGATAACAGGAATGACTGGATTCCATGTTGCTACTTTCACTTCTCTGAGGAACTGAAGATCATGGGTTGCATTCCCCAAGGAAATGCAGAAAAGGGGGCCCCTTTTAGAAGCCCCTGTTTTTGTCACTCTGGTGAGGAAATCGGCCTGCGTAATTGAGGGACCATCCTCTGCGAAGTCTCTCAGATCCCAACCGGGAACCAGCTGTGACATCTGGTCATCAACCCTGAGGTGGCACGCCATGTGCATTTCCCTGAGAATGGATAACTCGGAAGCGGTCCACCCCGGAGGGCAGCTGGGCTGAGGGCACCTTCTCAGCAGGGGTGGGGCGGGGATGGGGAGGCAGGGGTCAGTGGGAAATCCTGCCAGGTTTTCTGTCCTCACTCGGATTTAGCAACCAGCTGTCCGCTGGACACACCCAGGTTCCGACCCTCTAATCGCGCTGGTGGGAGTAATTAAGGTCAACTCTGGTTTGAGTTACATAATGTTTTAAGCAATTTTACCATTTACAGTTTAACACTCCAAACACTAGCGGTGTGTTGCCAGGGAGCACAATTTCTAGTCTGCTGGAACGGGTTGGTAAAATGTCCTTCGACTCAATGGACAAAGAGCCAATGAAAGCCCCTGGAGAAATCCACGGTTCAACCGGATATTATCTTAATGTTTGTGAGAGACAAATGACCCCAAGAAAGGAAGGTTTTTCAAGAACTGTAGGGTTTCAACCCAAGTGAAATGAGTTTTAGAGAGGTGGGCATGGAGATGGGATGATCTGAAATGCAAAATCCAGTCAAGTCATAAGCCCTTGGTGAGATTTGCAAACTTTCGCAAGGAAAATTCTTCTGTGAAGAAGGTGGGTAATGAGAATAACTGGAAGCCAGCATTGGGATCTCTGGGCCACCCCCTCTTGAAGAGATGGGCGGGGAAAGGGAAAAGCACACATATATCACTAACCAGGCAAGCATCCTGGCCAAAACCTCTGGCCAAGCATGCTCAGGCATGCGAAGGTGATAACCCCAAATAGCACAGGGAAGGAAATAATGGTTTCCTGAATTCCTATGAGATGCAGCTTCCTGGTGTCGACGACAGGCCTTTCTGAATCTCCGGGGAAAAGGGTGATGATCGTCTTCCTTGGCAAATCGGCATTTCCCACCCAGAGGATGATTTAGAATTGAGTGTGGTACATGCTTTTCGTGCCCTTTAAGAAGGAATCTGTACATATGCGCATTTTATGAACTTGTAATATACGAGAGATTTTGGCCTATTTAACTGACAATCTTGTAACTCCAACATCAACTGTGTAGTTAGGGAGATTGATTTAGACTTGTGACTCTACGTTGAAACCTTTCTAAATTCATGCACAGTTCTGGAACATTTACAAGAATTTTGGGTTAACAGTGTTTTAGAAGTTTAATTTATTGGGGCACCTGGGTGGCTCGGTTGGTTAAGCATCTGCCTTCGGCTCAGGTCGTGATCCCAGGATCCTGGGATCGAGCCCCACATCGGGCTTCCTGCTCAGCGGGGAGCCTGCTTCTCCCTCTCCCTCTGCCTGTTGCTTGTGTTCCCTCTCTCGCTGTGTCTCTCTCTGTCAAATAAATAAATAAAATCTTTAAAAAAAAAAAGAAGTTTAATTTATTAAAATTACTTAGTATTTAGGGGTGCCTGACAGACTCAGTCAGTACAGCATGGGACTCTTGATCTCAGGGTTGTGGGTTCGAGCCCCACATTGGGTGTAGAGACTACTTAAAAACAAAAAAAGTATTTAAAAAAAAAAGAATTACTTAGTATTTTAAAAGGTGGCTTTTTTATTAGTTCAGATAACTAAAGACATTTACAAGGAGATGGGGTATATTAAAATTATAAAAGTAGTTTAAGATGTTTGTAAATGGGTCTATAACCCCTTAAAAGTAATTATTTAAGTTTGCTGAATGTAGGGTTGGTTAGATTTAGCAAATAAAAATACAGAGCACTAGGTAAATTTGACTTTTTAAAAAATATTCATTTTTTAATTTTAGAGATAGAGAGACAGAGAGCAAGCGGCTGGGGGGTGCGGATAGAGAATCTGAAGCAGACTCCCTGCAGAGCCCCATGGGGGCTCAATCCCAGGACCCCGAGATCAGGACCTGAGCCAAAATCAGGAGTCAGATGCTTAATTGACTGAGCCACCCAGGCACCCCTAGGTAAATTTGACTTTAGATAATTCAAATTTAATTGGGCATCCTATCCTGTGTTTTATCTGGCAATCCTACCAGGATTTATAAAAAGAATAAACACTTTTATAAGCTGAATTTTGAAGCATGACATTTTCTAAGGCAGTAACAATCCTGTCAGGGTCCTGGAATAGGGTTTAGTTCCCAGCATCAAAAGTAAGCTAATCTGGGGACACCTGGCTGGCTCAGTTGGCAGAACATGAGACCCTTGACCTCAGAGTTGTGGGTTCAAGCCCCACGTTGGGTGTAGAGATGACTTAAAAATAAAATCTTAAAAAAAAAAAAGCTAACCTCCTACATTGGGGAAAAAGCAAAACCCCTTTGTTAGAATTACTGCACACGTTTATGAGAAAAATATTTTTTAAAGACTAGAATGGTACAAGTGAGCAAAAGAAGTTGGTCAGCTTGACTATGGAGTGGTGGCAATACTCTCTGAAACTTTCCGAAAGACTATGAGCTGAACCTAAGCTCCCTTGGCATCTGAACAGACATAGGAACATGGAATTGCCATTTGAAAACTGTGACCAGATAGTCTGGACCTCAGAGGCATCAGCCAGTGGTCCTAAAGCCATTTCAAGTACAGAAACTGTTTTGGGACTACAGTTATACAAATTTGAAAATTAAGTGTAACTTTTCCTCTTTTTCTTTTTTAAAGCATATTTGTAAACTCAAAGCTGAGCAGAAGTGACTTTACTTTCTCAAGTTCAATACTGATTTGACTGTGTCCCTTCCTTTACCACCTTGTTGTTCCCCTCACCTTCCATAAGGCAAAAATGAACAACTTAAGTTATTTTTGCTTCAAAAATGTGAAAGAGGGCGCTTGGGTGGCTCAGTCAGTTAAGCATCTGCCCTCAGCTCAGGTCATGATCTCAGGGTCCTGGGACTGAGTCCCACATTAGGCTCCCTGCTCTGCCGGGAGCCTGCTTCCTCCCTCTGCCTCTCTCCCTGTCTCTCATGAATAAATAAATAAAATCTTTAAAATTTTTTTTTAAAAATGTGAAAGAACCTCATGCTGTGAATTTTTTTGCTTTTGCAAGACGGCTGTTATCCACCTTGTTCAAATGTAAATGTTCCCTTATGCTTTTGAAATAAATTTCCTTTTGTAATTTTGAAAAAAAAAAAGCTAACCTGTAGGATGAGAGAGTCGACTATTCTGTTTTTTAATTTTTAACTTTGATCATTTGAATATTAATTTGAAAAATAAAGTAAACCTCTGTATAGTGGTTTCTGCATATAGAAACTGCCCTTGAGGACTTAAAAAAAAAATCACATAAACAGTCTGAAGAGACTGACCCCATTCTGTAATTAGCACATTCAACTGCATGGAATTGGACTTAGGAAAAAAAAAGTATCTGGATTCCAGAAAGAAAATGCTACGCCTCAAATTTAACTCAAGTCAGCTAGGTGCAGGGGCTTTGCTGAGTGCTTTCTGTGTTTAATATCACTCAATACTCCCCTAGGTTCTTCCTATGCTTCCTCCATTTTATGGATGAGCAAACTGAGGTTTGCACCCAAGGATACACAGCTAACCCGTCTCAGCTGGGGCCTGAACCCAGTCCCTCGGCCCCAGACCAGCCTTCTTGCCTGCCAAACCAGGCAAAGCAAAACCTTAATAAGGAACAAACACTGTAGGTGGGGGATGGGAAGGAGACCAAAGGAGACTTTGACTTTTTACTGTTAAACATTTGGGTATTGTTGGATTTTTTTCATTTGTTTGTTTTTACAAAAATATGTACTTGTTTAGTAATTGAAAAGGAAGATAAAAGTACTAAAAAGCTTTTTATTTTTTAAAGCAGATTAAACAATACCCCTGCCAACATGTTTTCTCCGACTGAGCCAAGCGCAGCTTTCAACCAGCTCCAGGAGTCACTGATAACACAGAGTGGGTCAGGGACATGAGGCTATACTGCAGGCTCAAGGAGAGCAGAAAGCCCACACTCATCCATCCTGTGCTGGGAACTGGGGGTTTAAGACAGTTCCTTCCAGGAGCCCAGAGTCCAGGCTGGGAAGGAAGGGCAGACACTGGCCTGACACACACTGATCACTTTGAAGTGTCCTTCCTTCTGCCACTTAGTGGCTATGGATGATGTTTCCTGGGGCATGTACTTCTGAACACTAGTCTGTAAGATGCTCCTAGAAAAAAGGATAAATTTATGTCACTCCCTGGAGATTTATAAAGCACATTAGCACGTTAAATGCTCTGAAAAGTCCTGCAATAAAGAAAGCTGCTTCAGTGTGTTGAAATAGGGTGTCCGGACTTTATTGTCCATAGAACCCTTTCTTCCTGTAAGTCCTTTCAATATCTTGAGCAACATCCACCTTGAGAAATACTGTCCCAATTGGGCAGGGACAGTCAGGTCCCTCAAAGCCTCACTAAACCCCCACGGAAGAACTCTTGGAATGTCATAGGAATGGGCAGAAATGAGGAGCAGGCGTTCAGACACATGGTCCCAAACATCACTATGAGCCACAGCCAGCCACCATGGGCCCTGGGGGGACAGGAGTCAGTGGGGGCAATACACTGGGACAAAGGATACCTCAGAATTGGAGAAAGCCACAATGGGGATTTCAGGGGGAGTGAAAGTGCACAGGCTGAGTAGCAAAAAGAAAGTAGCAAAAGGAAACAAAGGGCTTGTGGGAAAATCACCGCTACTGACGGGGGGTGGGGGAGGGACAAGCCACCTGACCCAAACAGGTGTTTCCAGTGACCGATGTCACTCTTTGTCTAGTAACAAATAGAGCCATAGCAATAATCATATAATATATGAAAATCGCTCTGGTTATCACGGTTCAGAGCCAGCCTCCCTCACCCCAGCCATGAGGCGAGGTGCCTTATCTAAGGTTGCTTAATTGAGA